CCCCAAAACCCCAAAACCCCAAAACCCCAGATAAGTTCCAGCTGATTGAAATCCAGAAATTAGAAATAATTATCTTTAAAAATCTAAAAGCTCATAACTAAAATAAGCTAAAATAATAATTTTTCTTACAAAAAAAAGAGAACACAAAAGTTGGGTAATTCTCAGATCAACACAATCTTATTCTTCAAGAGGAGGGTTACCTTCTTCAACAACACTGATATGAGAGAGGCAGTGATTCGTCAGTAGTTCAGTTACTTTGGAGGCAGAAATCTTACAGCTATTTACATTTAGAGTCTTGAGTGAGTCTTTTAGAGAAGAATTCTTGATTGCAATCACAATCTTCTCAAATCTCTCTGGATAGCTATTCCATTCCATATTGCACCAAGAATTTCCGCAAGAAGTGAAGCTGAGATACTCAAGTTTTGCTTGAGCATGTGATGAAAAATCAAGAGAGTCTGAAGTAGAGATTTTGCTCTGACCAATTATTAATCTTTCAGCACTATACGCTGACTTCACAATCTCATTAAGGTCGACTTCATCCAAAATAAGGTGATAAAAATGAACTTCCTTGGTTACAGTTGGAATAATCTTCTTTAATCCATCAAGGTATAACTTTACCTTAACTGAATCAGATCCTGAAGATCCAATATAATTAAAATTAAATGCGAACAGCTTTAATGAAGTAGGGAACGATTGCTTCATAAATTCATTAAGTACAGCATCTTCATTGCTAATTCTGTTAATAGCAACTCTCTTCATATCTCCAAACGAGTACTCACATTCTACCATTGCTTGCACCAATTTACTCCATTTCTCTTCATTCATCGTAAGATCCAATTCTTTAGCATCAATGTTGAAGTCTGGACAGATATTTTTAAAGTTGTTTTTGATGACTTTCTTAGCTTCTTCTAAATTTGCTTCATTTACTTTCAGTTCTAAATGTGAAATATTTGGAGAGTTTACCTTCGTATAGTTTGGCTATTTCTCTTTTATCTTTATCTTGCTCATCTTTGCATTCTTTAATTTTCTCGAGCTTTACCTTCAAGTCATTCTCAAGCTGAACCTTAAAATCTTTCAAGTCTTTGTTCTCAGCTTGCAATGTGGCATTTTCAGCAAGAGCTTCGTTTTTTTGCTTCTTGGTATCTTCGGTATCTTGAAGTGCTTGCTCTGTGGCTTCTTTCTGTTCCTCAAGCTCCGTATCCTTAGCATCATTCAGATCTTTCAGGTTCTGGATCTCGCCTTTGAATTCTTCAGTGAGTCTGACTTTGCACTGTTGCTCAAATTGTCTTGATTTGGAGCGGAACTTCTTCTCCATCAGCTCCACATTTTCTTTGACCACAGCATCGATCTTTTCTTTGACCTTTGTTGCAGATGATAAGTCTAAGCTTTATAAAGAAGAACTTACCACCACCGATCTTGGGTAGGCTGTACATGCTGACATCTCTGAATGTTGACAAGTACAAAATATCTTTGACGACTTTGCTATCGTCCATCTGAGTTTGGACCCTAAAGAGATCAGCAAGTTTAAGTGAAAGCACTCAAAGATATGAGGGTGCCATTTTAACAAGTGGAGGAAGAACTTACTGTTTGATCTCAGACTGGAGAGTGTCAAATTGTTCGAAGTGGTCATGAGTAATAGCATCTTTTATTTTGTTCTCAATCTCGACGAGGCTGTCCTTAAAATCTTTGAGTTCACTGTCAATGTGAGGACTGTATTTTCTCAAACCGTTCTCAGCTATGAGCTCGAACAGTCTCTTCACAAATCTCTTGACTTCGATCACATCGATCTTGAGGTCAGTCAGATCGTGGATGATATCCAGCTGGCATTTGAAGTGCATCTTGTTAGCTCAGCTCTTGCATGTTTGCATCTGATGGGATTTACAGAAGTACACTCTGTGTTTCTTGCATGCAGGGTCACTACATTGAAGCCTATTACAAGTTAAGATGGCTTTGATCAAAAGAATTAACATCTAGATCACTCAGGCTTACTTTTGGGGAATAGCATTAAAAGAATCCATATTAGGAAATAAAATCCAATAATTAAGAAAGGTAAGTTCAACTGAGATTTATACCTGGGGGGTTTTGGGGTTTTGGGGTTTTGGGG